GGCCGTGAAAGCCTTCGACAATACAAAGAATAATGTTCTTTATTTTTTACACTCTGAGGGCGGTATACCTGCTGGGTGAAATTTTTTACCCAGGAATATTCAGAATCCAGTTAGCTTCTATGTTGGTGAGCTCCAGTCTATAGGTATGAGAATCATTGCCATTCAACAATAAAGCCTGTGTAGAAGAGAATTAATTACCTCTTTGAGAGAAAGAAAAGGGTGGCTTCTGGTATGAGTCATGGCTGACTGAAGACATCTCCGCAAATGAGTGGAGATGACAACCACTGTGAAGAATGAACGACTGGCAAGTAGACCAGTTCTTCGAATCTCTCTAGAGAAGGAGAGATCAGGAGATTGCCCACGAGTGCTCTGAATGGCAGCTCCTCACAAGGAGACCATAAAACAGCAGTCTCCTGTGGGTTTGAGCACCAGGAACTGAGGGAGATGACATCTTTGCTCTCAGAAGTGGCAGAGCCTTTCATAAGGACACTAAGCGAGCTGAACTGACTTTCTACAGGTAATCCTTGACTTACAACTATTTGTTCAGTGACTGTTCAAAGTTATGACGTCACTGAACAAAGGAGCTTACAACTGGCATCCAAAGTTACAGCCACTGCAGTGCCCCCACAGTTACATGATCAAAATTCAAGTGCTTGGCAGCTTGCCTGCACTTACAACCGCAAGGGCACTTCAACTCCCCCCACCCACCTATTTTCCCCCCCATCTCTGCCCTTTTGGGTGCCCTGCACAGTGGCATTCTTTGGTGGTGGTGGCAGAATTAGAGGGGCCTTCAGCAGTCTCAGCTGGCCACCCCCCCCAGCCTCTACTTCAGTCCCAGCACAGCTGGCACCGCCTCAAGCCCTGCGTCATGGCCAGCTGCCACAGCGCAAAGCCCCAGCCGCCCTGCACTCCGCAGGCCCTGCCGCACCAGCTGACCTTCACCTTTTTCCTCCTGCTGCTGACAAGGCCTGCCTGGCCTGCCTTATGCAAGGCAGCTGCTGGCCATGTCAGCTCTTCTTCCCAAGGCCATTCATACTGTTCTCCAAATTGTGTGTCCCATCCCCACCCTGCTTTGGAAATTCTTTGGAAAGATTCTGAGATCTTTCTTGAACTTCTGGTTTTTTTCTGTTGTAAAGGTAGGTTCCAAGTGCAGTTTCGTTTCACAGGGGAAATAAAGAGACTGTTTTTCCCTGCTTTTCGTAGGCCTTGAAAGTGACCGCAGATGTCAACTGCATAACCAATTACATAGCAGAGAACGAATCCCAGCTTCTGCACGGGAACAGTGGAGAGAGGAAGGGCTTGCTGTACGGAATTCCTGTCAGCATAAAGGATTCCATTAACTGCAAGGTACGGCTGGTGTTGGCCTTGGGTGGGTACGCAGCGCTCTCATGTGGCTAAAGAGCAGGTGGAAGTGCAACTGGTATGACTCTTTGCTGTTATGTAATAAGAACCATCTTGGGTCTCAGTTAGCTTCTGGCAGATGCCAACATACGTTAGTTAAATATGGGATCATCTTTTCATCTGCCAGTATTTAATAGCTCGAGTCACTTAATGTGGAACCTGCTGTTTTTTACAACAGCTTTAAAACCCTTGCCTCCCAGCAGGGCCTGGGCAGGGTGATTTGTGAACCTGCATCGGAGACATGATATTTTAATTCTTTTTGAATTTCCATACTGTGATGTACTGCTTGTTTTTTTTAATTCTTATTATTGGTTTCTTGTATGGATTTATGATGTGTTTTTAAATTTATGTGTGTTGCCTTGAATGGTTTTGCAATTAGACAGCTTATAAATAAAATAAATAAGCAAAAATCCACACTGCATTAAGGATGTTTCGTGGACATCAGCCACATTCATGTCTTAAAAACATGCTAGAAAATGTGCTTAGATCTGGGTAACCAAAATAAATATTGTCTTATGCTAAGGCATGTTTCACATCAGTCTTAAAACTAATTGCTATCTTCTAAAACATATGGAGCTGTCTGATTCTAACTGGATTTCCACACTGCATTCCATCATGGTTTACTTAATTGTGATTTGTTGAAATGGGTGGACTCATATAACTTAAGTCAGAAGCCATGGTTTAAAAGCCACAGTGGCTGGAGTCATGCAACCTACTAAGTCAAAACAAACTATGGCTTAGTGTGATGTGTAAATTGAATTATACCATTGATTAATCTAGTTTACTCTGGGCAGCTGCTGTTCAGAATTTCAGGCAGGAATCTTCCACTCTACCAAGGATTGGTCCTTGCACCTTCTGCATACAAAGCATTGTGTTCTGAACAGGGATATATGAAATCCTGTTTTATCATGGAACAGGAGTACTTATTGGCACAGGGCTGCAACTTAGCTATGTCAGATGAACTGAATTCACTTTTAGGAAGGCTAGTATGATTCCTAATGTTCAAGAGCACAACTAGTCCATCCATTACCAATTTATTGATGTTTTTGAACATCCTAAGCCCAGTCTCACTGAATGATATCTGATGTTTCTATGGGGAACCTGAATTTCCTGATCATCTTTATATCTGTTTCCACATCACAGGGCTGTGACTCCACTTTGGGCTTGACAAAGCGTCTCTTCCAGCCAGCAGCAGAAGATGCTGTTATAGTCCAGGTGTTGAAACATCAAGGAGCAATTCCATTTGTAAAAACAAATGTTCCCCAATCTCTGTTGAGGTAAATCGTGTATTTTTTCTGCCATAGTTGATGTTTTGATTTTTTATATAGAACCTAGTTGTTTTCAGACATCACAAGCTTGAGTAAATTCTGCTCTTCTTTTGATAATTGAAGATCTTTTATATGGGATAAATGAGCATTGTGTGAAAACATCTGTTTGAAGATAAATAGATGATCCAACAGATATTGTCAAAAAGAATAATGCAGTTGTCCTTGGAGAGGGAAAACAAGAGGGGTAAATCAAATATGCCAAACTATTCTGGGTTGGCCAGTCAGATTTCTAGAATAAGTTCTTGGAGTGGGGAAAAACACTGAAATGGAGGCTATTATAGTGATAACAAAGGAGCAAAGCAAATAGCGTTACACAAATCTGTTGTTTGTCATCGGCTGACTAGACTGTATGACACGAGTGGGTGATTCAAACTGGCCAAAGGACCAGTATTTTCACCTGGATAACAATACCCCTTCTCATTCTTTCCACCACTACTCCCCTGGGCAGCACTGTGTAAGTGATAATTGTTAAAGCTTAAGGAAGTATAATTTTTCAAGAAGAAGAGTTGAGCTCAACTTGACCAAGTCTTTACCAAGTGGACAGTGCTCAAAGATAAAATATTTAATTTTTTGGTTCTTGGGCAACTATAATTTTGGAAATTTGAGGTTTAATAATTGATTATGATAATCATTTCCGCTTCACAATTTAAGAAATGTGAAGACTGGTTATTTTGTTTATGCTTGAGAGAGGTATGCACTTAACACTGCTCATTGTTCATACCTGAAAACTTGTGAGATTTGGAATAAGACTGCCAGAATTCTGTGAAATTTGAAAGTGAAACTATTGAAATCTTGTAATTTGTCAGTCTTACAAAATGTTGACCATCTTTGAGATATTACATAGGTATACATATATATTTGGCCCAGTGATGGTATCAGAAAAGGTTGCTTCCTCCCCTCCCCTCCCCTCCCCTCCCCTCCCCTCCCCTCCCCTCCCCTCTCCTTTCCTTTCCTTTCTTTCTGTTTGAAAGATTTTCTTAGGCCTTTATTTATTACGGTAGCTGCTTGAAAAGGAAAAAAAAATCCATATTAAGAGACAAAGTGTAAATAATAGCATTATTTCAGATCGCAGGACAAGACTAAGCAAGGACTATAGTATAATTTTGTCAAAAGGCTAATTGGATCGTACTGTTAGATCCCTAGCTGGAAGGACTATTAGGAAAGGATTTGGAATTATTCCAAGACCAGTTGCTGACAGTATTCTTTCTCTTTTCAGCTATGACTGCAGTAACCCAATCTTTGGAGAAACATTGCATCCTTTGGATCACACTAAAACCTGTGGTGGTTCGTCAGGAGGGGAAGGAGCTCTTATTAAAAGCGGAGGATCCATTCTGGGCATTGGCACAGATATAGGAGGCAGCATTCGTATCCCAAGTGGCTTTTGCGGAATTTGTGGTTTGAAAACCACTGGCAACAGAATTAGGTTGTATACAATGCTTGTCCCTTAAAATATGTGGATTATTCTTCTCAGGTTCCTGATCTATTGTAACTGTAGGTAGGAGTTGCCAAGAATGGGGGAACTAATAATTAACCCAAATAGTGAAAATTAACAAGTCAGATCATTGCATAGGCAAAATCTTATATCATTCAGTCTTTATTGAATTGCTTTGGACAGCTACAACTTATTTCAAGTAAGCTCTGTTTAACATCTGAATGGGCTATCCTGTTTTCCCCGACTGTACCCGAATCAAAATGTGAACTTCCAATGTTTATGGATCATATTTGTTTAACTAATCTAATAGGGTTGGCTAGAATCTTGGCTATTTTAGTTAGTGTGAACTGTCCCCTGTTCAACAAAGCAAACTGGAAATGTTCTCAACATGTCATCTGCATTAGGTGCTGAGAATTCGTTCCCCTTTAGAACATAAAGGAAGAGGAGTTGGTATTGAAAATGGGGAGTCTTGATAGCTTTGCTAAAACTACTCTTTTGGTGTTTTCATAGCAAAAAAGGAATTGTTCCAAGTATCCCTGGTCAGAGATCAGGTAAGATACTATCATTGATACTATCAATATAGAATTGTTATTAGCTAATTTTAATGTGGATATTTATATTTTCATTGTTTTTGCTGTTTTGGATTTTGATTGTGAGCATGTAGAATTGCCCTCTGGGGGAGATGGGCGGCATATAAATTTAATAAATAAATAAATAAAGATAAAGATAATTGGATGAGATAAATGGAAAGTCCAACTCAAGTGAATAAATGATACTTTGACATTCTTATTCTGCAAATAACAGTTTCACCCATTTCTACAAAATAAATTTTTAAAATGTTGACAGCCTTTCAAAAAAGCGTGAATTCAGTTCTAATAACTTAACGCTAGTGACAACCATGCTCTGTTACCTGAATATTTTATTGTCACCTTTTCTTTTAAAGGAAAAGGTTTTTTAAATTAGCAATGGATGTGGGGAATTCTAACAAGAACTTGCCAGAAAAAGTTTTGAGCAAATTGCTTGCTGTTTCTTAGAGGCTCTCAATTAATTAATTAATTAATTAATTAATTAATTAATTATCTAATTGTTTAGATGGCTGCCCAACTTGTAAATTGTAACTCTGGGTCGCCAACATATGATTAAAACCAAAAACGTAAATAAAATAAGGAACCGCACAAAAGTAAAGATAGCGCAACCAAGCCAACCTACAGTCATCCAGTATTCCAACTGTTCCAACTGTTAGGGCTCATCCAGCACCCTGTCCCAATGCCTGAGGGAAAAGCCATGTCTTCAAGGCCTTACAGGACATCAGCAGGGCCAGGGCCATCCACATCTTGGGGAGGTGGTTATTCCAAAGGGCAGCAGCCATGACAGAGAAAGCATGCCTCCTGGGTCCTGCCAGATGGCACTGTTTTATAGGGTGGACCTGGAGCATGCCCACTTTGCTGGACCTCATGCAACAGAATCAATTTAACCCATGTACCCTGTGACATGATAACCAGTCCTTTGAATTATACCTTTAAGATTACCAGGAGCTAGTGCAGCCCACCAAGAAATGATACTATATGGGCTTATCATGATGCACCCATAACCACCCATGCTGTTGCATTCTGGACCAGTTGCAGATTCCAGATATACTTCAAGGGCAGCCCCATGTTGAATGTGTTGCAGTAGTCCAACCAGGAGGTGGCCAAGCCATGAGTGCCTATAAGTAGAGTCTCCCAGTCCAGGAACAGCTACAATTGGTATACAAGCTAGATTAATGCAAAGGCCCTCCTAGCCACAGTTGCCATCTATCCTACTAGCAGGTTAGAGTCCAAGAGGGCCCACAAGCTGCATACCAGTTCACTTTGTGGAGTGCTACTCCATCAAGAACTACAGATGAAAAGTCACTAGATCCAAGGGGCCCAAAGACCTTCAGCCATTTGATCTAGCTAGGCTTAAGCTGAAACCTGTTCTTCCCCAGTTTCTCACAGCCTTCAGAAAGGAAAAGGATCTTGGCTATACCATTTGGTCAGCCTGGATGTATAACCGAGTATCAACAGTTCACTGATGATACTTAATCCTCTGCCAGTAGATGACCTCATCCAGAAGCTTCATGAAGTTGGAAACTAGGGCTAGATCTCTCCCATCCTGACAACACCACCTGGAACTGGCTATGGAGGAAGGAGAACCACTGCAACACTGGGTACCCACTTTCAGCCCCCAAAGTTGTTCTAGAAGGATACCATGATCAAAGACCACTAAGAGATCAAGGACAGCCAGAATGCATACACCACTCCTTCCCAATCTGCCCCAGAGATAATCCATAGGTGTGATCAATGGCATCTCAGTATTGTACATAGTATTGTACATTGGTGTAATGGTATGTGGGAATGACCTTGGGAGACAGGAGGAAGACCCACAGCCTAGACGATGGTCTGATGAAATCGGAGTCTGAAGGGGGGGTGGGGGTGGAGAAAGTGTCTTAGAAGGGACCCTCCCTAGTTTTCAGCAGAGTCAAAGTAAGGGAAGGGAGAGGTACTTTCAGACTTGCAAGTTTCTGTTACTGTAACTTTACAATAAAGGTAGTGTTAGTACTCATGGTTGGTGCTTCTTGTCTGAAGTACCTCAAAGAGCTGACAGTTTGAAACTTGACTGAAAAGGGTAAAAATAAGAAATTTCATCCAGGGTCTTCTGGAGCTGCAAACCAACCACCTTGTCAACAACATTACCCCAAAAAGAGAAGGTTGGAAACAGGATGAAAATAAAGAGAAGAGTAAACAAATGACTTTATATTTGCAATTGTATTAAAGACGTACTCTTTTTACATTATTATCAACAGTTCAAATGGGGAAGAGAGTTCGTTCATACTGAAAAGTAGGGAATGAGTTGGCTGTTTAGGAGTTACCACTTTTTGTGAGCTTCAGCAATTGAAACTTTCCTCTCAGAATTTCCCAAGTCTAAAAGGCTACCCTTTAATGCCTTCCATTTGCCTGTTTCTTCCTTCCAGTTTTTGTTGGCTTGGGACCAATGGCACGGGATGTTGACAGCCTTGCCCTTTGCCTAAGAGCTCTCTTGTGCAAGAAAATGTTCCATCTGGATCCCACTGTGCCACCTCTTCCTTTCAATGAGCAGGTAAGGTCAATAATCCTACTAGCAATGTGTAGCTCTTCAAATCAGAAGAAAAATAAGTGCCTTGAAGAAAATATGGGCGTGGGAGTCTTCCTGTGAGTTCCGTGATGAGCTGACGTATTACTGGCTTGCTGGCTAGTAAGATAGCTTTTGCAAGGGAAGTCGCGGCTGGATGCTGGATCTGGGCCGGCGTAATCTCTCTGGAACAAAGGAGAGATCGTTGAGTTCATCCATGTGATTCTGGACAGCCATTACGTGTGAGTAGACTGCAGAAACTCGTTTTATGATTGGCTTATGAGTGGTGAGGCTGGGAGTCGGGATTACATCAAGCTCACACCCACAAGACAGCCTTACGAACATTAAGTTCAACCAAGCCTTATATTTTAATCACCTTTTTGGATTAATTTTTTATTTTTTGTATATTGGAGAGATTAAGACCTTTCAGACTGGCAAGGTTTTACTGTATTCATTGGGTAAGTCTCTGCCTCCTTAAAAGACAATGATGTAAATCTGATCTTAAATGTTTTGAAAATATATGATTTTTTTTTTGGACTATGCAGCAAAAGGGTGCTTAGTATATGGATTCTGGAAAGCTAATAACAGATTAAGGGGCCAGAGGGATATGGAATTATAGTTTTGAATTAATTAGAAGATATCTTCTCATTGGAAAATGGCAATTGCTTTGGTTTCTTTATGATAAGGAGACCTTGAAGGTTGGACATTACAGGGAACCAGAGGACAAAGAAAATGGAGCAGAAATCTTTAGTGCAAACTTTTGAATACCTCTCAGCCAAGTTACTGGATAGAATGGATCAATTGTTCGAGAAACTGCACAGAACATGTTTTAATGAAGTTGTAAAACAAGAACAAGTTGCAGTGGATGTCTATGAAATTAATTTGAAGGAGGACTTAAATGTAATACAAATGGATTTGATGGATGACTTATCCCCTAAACGAGATGAACAGATACTAAACCAGGACATTGATCTGGATAATTTTTTTCTTCTGGATTTTCAAAAGAGCCCTGCTAAGTTTTGGAAAGATTTTTTTAGAAGTGACAAATGCAAGGATAAACTTTATCTAATGGACATGCAAAATAAATCTGTTAAAGTTCTGAGGGATTTTTGCTTGGATACACAGATGACCAGCAAACTATCTCTGGGACTTTTTTTATTAAAGAAAAGAAAAAAAGGAAAAGGAGAAAGAGAAAGAAACAAAAAAAAAGAAAAAGTAACTTCCGCCTTCATCTCAGCAGGTAAAAGCAATTTTAATAGCTTATCACCGTCTCTAAATAGAACATAATCACTCTTCTCTCCATAATCCATCTCTTAGGTAAAACAAAAAACAAAAAGTAGTTAAAGAATAATTTTAAAAATTCAGGTAAGGTTTATAAGATTGGCTTGTTTGATCAGGGCTAAAAGAAGAAAATAGTTATATCTGGTTGCCCTTACTGGACTCTTGCTGACAAAGAATGATTGATAAAGTTTTTGGATTTTGTTTTTGTTTTTTGTTTTACCTAAGAGATGGATTATGGAGAGAAGAGTGATTATGTTCTATTTAGAGACGGTGATAAGCTATTAAAATTGCTTTTACCTGCTGAGATGAAGGCGGAAGTTACTTTTTCTTTTTTTTTGTTTCTTTCTCTTTCTCTTTCTCTTTCTCTTTCTCTTTCTCCTTTTCCTTTTCCTTTTTTTCTTTTCTACACTCCCTCCCCTGCCCTTTTTTTGTATTTTTCTGTTTGCATTGACTTTTGTTCTCTTAATTTATAATTCTTAAGAACATTATTTGAAAAAAAAAGAAAACATGGGTGTGCTTGCTGCAGCCACTACCACTGCCTTAAAGAAGCTGTGCCTTTGCCTGGGCTTGTGTGGTAGTTGCATCACCCCAGGAAAAAAAACACATTTGAGTTATGGAGCTGTCCAGAAAGTTCCCTTGAAAAAAAGGGGATAATCAAATATCTCCACCTTGCCTTTAGGAAGTACTATCAATATGGGCTGTTCTTACATGCAGAAAACGAATAAATACCATTTTACTTCTAAGAGGTAACAGAAATACATAAAAGCTGAGGAGCGCCCTTCTCCTTTGTTGCATTTCACTGAAAGAAGTGATTATTTTAAAGTAAATACGCATTAGTAACACTTGGGAAGAAACCTAGTCATAAGATACTTCAAGTAGCCTTATAGGCTTAGTGTATCTCAAAATACAATCCTGCCGTCCCACCCAAACTTAATTTTTTTATAATAACTTTATTAATTTTTTTAAAAGAGCAATGAAAACTAACCAAAACTAATATTAAGAATACAAAATAAGAAAAAAAAAAGAAAAAATGAAAACAGTAAAAAGCAAAAGTGCAGAAAAGAAAAAAGAAAACAAAAAATTGACTTCTGATCCATCCCAAACAGATATAAGTAACAATATACATCAAACTCTTGCTCTAAATTTACTGCATAACTTCCACTATTTCTATTAGCCCATATTGTTTCTAATCATCAAACCTATACAACATAATTTCATTTTTCTATATCCCACAAAAAGCCCCCCCCCCCAAAAAAATTCCAATTAACACTAAAATTATCCAATGTTTTACCTCAAATCAAAACTATCAATTTTGCCATCTCGGCCAACTCCATCAACCTCACAAACCATTGTTTTCCTATAGGTAATATCTTTTCTTTCCACCTCTATGCATTTAAAAACCTTGGTGCTCTTATATCATATATAAAAAATTAAATTATAAATAATGTCATATTCTTCCACCTTTATGCATATAAAAACCTTACTACTATTGTCATATATAAGAACAAAATCCATAGATTTAATAACAAATATATCTTAACCTTAGTGAACTTTATACCAAAATCCTTAAAACATTGTCAGTCAGTCCTGGTCACAAAAACAAATCCCATTAATAACTACTGAGAGCCTCAACGTATACAGTCATATGAAAAAGAAAGTACACCCTCTTTGAGTTCTATGGTTTTACGTATCAGGACATTACAAAAATCATCTGGACTTTAGCAGTTCTCAAAAGTAGGTAAATACAGCCTCAGATGGCACTGATGAAATTCTGATAGTTGTTGAGCACCGGATCGCCTGCCTCTATTAGGAGAGTTGCCCACTTGGCAGCAGCTCCCTTCAATAAACTCAACACAAAGGACACCCTTGTGCGGTCCGTAGGAAACTCCACTGGTCTGCCACCCATGAACAACTTATACTGTGCCAGGAATGTTCACATCTGTTCCGCCACACCTCCATACATTTCAGGCATGCTTCCAGGAGAACGCAACAACACCAGCGGTGGAGGGGGAAGTTGCTGGCCAACCTGTCCAAGCTGCCGTTCTAATTGCCCCATAGCTGCTTGTAGATTATTAATCTGCGCATCGACCTGTTGTTAATGTTGTAATAACGCCACCGCTGCCAAAAGTTGGGGGGTTAAATTGGTTCCCTGTGGATCCGCTGCCATACTTCAAAATTCCTCCCAATGGAGTAGGGAGTCTGGCGAGATTGATGTCAGGTTCAGCCCAAGAAACTCCACGAGATGGTTCTGGAATTGCTCAGTTACTTTATTAGCTTGCACCTGCTAGACAGGATCTCGCCAGACTAACTCTAACTCCCAAAGTCTGCAACTAAACACTACAAATTCCTTAGGG